GAATAGTTTAGAAAGAGAAGATTTTGTTTATATTATTTTGTAGATTTTAAGAATGAGAAATTGATACTTATAGGTGATTAATCGTGGTGACATCGAAGGAAGAAGGGCTAGTAAGAAAAATCAATTTCCAAACTTCTGTAAGTATGCACGGTTCTTTATTCAATCATTATCCTTTACTATTGTCAAATTCTTTATTGCTGTTAAATGAATGATCATACAAATTACATGTACATTTTATGGTATTATATGATAAAGTTTATGTTATATGGAATGAGATGATATGAATGTTATTTGAATGCTTGTATGTGCATGCTGAAATGATGGAGCTCACCCCCTGATGGTACTAGTTGGGGACACTGTACTCGTGCACGATAAAATGGTAAATGATATGGAAAAGGAAATGGTAAAGGAGTACCTTTATGGTACTAGACGGTGGCTCTTGTGATGGTTGTATTATATACGAAACGAGAAAGTTAAGTATAATGATATGAATATGGAAATGAAATGAAAAATATGGCTTCATGTTATAATGTGTTTAATGTTATGTTTGTATGAAATCATCTTTATATTATGTTCATGTAAAATTGGCATTTATCATATTGTTCAGTTGCCTTGTTTACTGTAGTTTAGAATTGTGTATTACTTACTGAGCTTTAGCTTAATGTTAGTTATTAACATTTTTCAGGTAAGTATAAGCAAATCAATATGAGTAGATGGGGTGGCAATATATACCGTAGAAGAGGAGCGTCTGAGGAAAGGTAATTTTATGGTTATGTCTGATTTTTATGTTTATGCGTTTTAAATTTGATATTTTAGAGGCTCTTTCAATTATTATGGAGATAGATTTAGACATTAGATAATTTAACCTATCGTCCGACCTCTATTCCCGCCTCGCCTACGCGAGCTCACCGGGCCTGGTCGTGACAGATATAGACTTTAGCGTCCTAGCTTTGTAAGAAGATCCAACACATAAACATATAAGAGAGATGGGTGCAGTGTTCAAAAGAGACATCAAGATTTTTATGTGAAAAATTCTAAAAAAGGAAAAAACTATGGGGCCTAATACAATTTAAATGAATTTACAAGTATTGATGATTGGTTACAAATAATACTCGGAGGAGGAGGGTGTTAGCTTAATGTTGCAAATATACAGTGTTTAAAGCATATTACATAGTTGGACAACAACATGACAAATGTTCTTAAGAGAGTGTTGGTATATTTGTTTGGTCAGTAGACCACAATCGATGGTGTATGGTGGTCAGAAGGACTAGTCTGCATGCGACGGTGTTCAGAGGGACTTTAGTTAGTTGGTGAAGGTGGTCGGAGTGGTCGTAGTTGGTGGGGTGGTCAGAGGGACTGTAGTCGGCGGGCGATGGTGTTCGTAGGTACCTTAATTGGTAGGTAACATTGGTTAAAGGTACCATAGTTTGCTAGCGATGGAGGTCGGAAGGGCCGTAGTTGGTGGGCGACTGTAGTTGGATAGACCGTAGTCAGTGCAAGATGGTGGTCGGCAAGAATTCTGATGGTGGCAGTGCTGGATGTAGGGAGCAAGAGAGCTCTAAAAACTTTTCCTTGTCTACTCCCCCTCTCATGTGGAGAATGATGTGATATTTACAATTTTTTGAGAGTGGCATGGCTAGTAAATATAGATAAAATCAAGGGTAGGTTGGGAGTCTTCCATTAGATGTTTGGCATTAGTTCCCTTGATCATAAAGTGTTTATCAAGCATTTTGATACGTTAATGATGTCATAATTGAGTGATCTTGGGCTCATTGGATTTGTCTCGTCGAGCATCTCGATTTCACTATAATCATGTCATATTTGAATATAATTTGATCTTCCAATTGATGCTCCGAAGCTTTTATGTATATTTTGGTCCTTTGATTTAAGCTTATTTGGGTTGGGATCAAGATGAAATTGTTTTTATTGGGTTGGTCTCATTGAGATATTTAATTTGACTATACTTTTGTTGAAATTGGAGTTTAGATGATCCCAAATTTATTGTTGAAAGTTTTTTTATTCATATTTACATCGAGATTCATGCCTGATCAAGATGATTTTTAGTGACATATCACTAATATTATAAACTCACATCATTATTTATGATCAGATCGATGCATCTCTTAAGCAACCACTTAGACTCCCATCATCTACATTGATATATATGATGAACTTCTTGGCCTTTGATCTCTCCTTCTCAATAGAGTATGATTAAAAAAAAAAATATTAAAAAAGTAAAATAAAAAAACCAAGAGAATGATGTCTTAAAGATGCCTCCAATGTCAGTGCTCTTTTGGCTTCAATGCACCCTTTATATTCTACACATTGTATACTTACTATGAATCAATGTGTTCATCTGATGAAGTGTATCATTTATAGACTAATACTAATAAAGCTATTTTAATTAGGACAATCCCCGTTGTTTTTCCCTTTTTCAAAATTTTCACATAAACTCATACTCTCTTGCAATTCTTGCAGTCATCTCTTATCCATGTGCATAACAAATATTCTAACATGCAATAACAATAATTCTCAGCTTTGATTTATCTTATTTATGATCATATGGGTAACAACATATAAACTTTTGATCAATTTTAGCATGCTTGCTTTAGTTACTTAAGACTATATTCTGCAGTATGTTTCTGATTGAAAGGGAACGTTACTTCGACCGTAACACCGCGCTTGCGCTTAAGATACTCAATAGAAAAGACCAATGCCTTAAAAAAAAAAAGTTTTGTTATTCATTATATTGCAATTGATGGTTTATATTGCTATTTTGATTTCAAATCCAAATCAAATTTTACGTTAATTTTAAGGAAAAGATTGATTAAACTGAATTAATTTATCAGATTTTACTTGAGCATGTTCCAAATCTCAAATTCTAGTAGAAAAACCTGGATGAACGTGAAGCTTCAAACTTAATAGCTTCTATGAACCTTCTGGTTCAGCATTCTTCTTCTAGCATGTGATGATGTTGATGAAAACAACTGAAACATATATCTCTTGACTCTCAAAGTTCAGGAGAAATTATTTTATGCAGACGGCGGATGTAACTCTACGTTTGAATTTTCTTGTACGGAACAGTATCGAGCCGTTGTACCTAACAATAATGAGCCGGGGTACATCAAAAGAATGATGACGTGATGCATTTTATTGATCTCTGAATAATATTCGGTATCCGCACAGAATAATTTCTCCAAGTTCAACAGCTGGCTTGGAGTTTGAGTGAAAGAAACAAAAACTGAAAAGCTCAAACCAATAACCAAAATTTTATGATCAATCAATTAAGTAATAAAATTTTATGCAATTTCCTTTCCTTCAATCCAAAGCAATCCTGTGAACATTTTGATCATGTGCAACATTTGAAGAAGCTTCTTAATTCAAACGTGGGAAATGCCACATATACATATATATGATAATAAAGTGCTAAAATATTAATAAACAAAAATATTTAATACCAACAAAAAAAGAACTGAAGATGAGCTAGAAATAAAGATACAAATGAAATGAAAAAATAAAATAAAATAAAAGAAGAAAGTAGATAACACATACAATCGATCATCACCGCCAATCCATCAGACATCACTGCATTTGTCCATTTCAAAGTCGTAAAATTTCCTGAAAAGAATTATAGGTGAAGACAAAGGCACCGCCGTATAAGATAATGAATACAAAACGTGGCACATCTCGCACCAGGAAGTCAGAGGAAGCCAAATTCAACTAAAAATTCCCACCGTAATCACCAACCTCTCTCAAAATATCTATATTCCACTTCCACGAACCAAAAACGTGGCACAATTTTCTCCTAAAACCAGGAATCTACCTTTCACACTATCTCACAAATAGAGCAGTTCACCAAACTACAGAGGTAACTGAAATAAACAAAATGTGTAAAGAAAGAAAATATCTGATAAAATCAGAGAGAGAGAGAGAGATGACAGACTATAACAGAGATAATAATACACTACCCTATCCAATCAAGCCTCTACTACTATCACATCTATATATACAGAATACAATCCCACCAACAATCATAAGGGAGAAAAAAAAAAAAGGAAAAAAAAACCTACAAAAATGTTGGCTGCATCTAGTACCGACAATTCAATAACATTTTTCATCATCTCTCTTACAAACACCAGCCATTCTTCATGTTCACTGCATCACCTCTCCAGCCAACTCTTTAGATTGTAAAGTGCCTCAGTTGATAAGCTACAGCTCTTCAATCTTTGAACTGGCAGCTGTGATCTCTGCTGCTGATCCAGCTGCATAGCAGAATCGCAATGTTCGGGGGGAGAAAGACGAACAACGATGACGGTGAGATTATCGAAGGTTTTGAGCCTCAGTGCTTCCATGACCAACTCCCTTGCACATCGCTCTGGATCGTCATGGCGTCGAAGTTCCCTCCGAACTAAATTCACAGCATGTTGGCTGGACATTACATCCCATATGCCGTCGCAGCCGATGATTAGAAACTCATCATCCTCCATTAGCACCGCTTGCATGAACTCTGGCTCGGCAATCAGTGGAGATGGCGAGCCTCGAGGAAGCTTAATGTCCCAATCTCCAAGCGCCCGGGAAACAGAGAGCATCCCATTGAGGTAACCATCATCAATATAGCCACCGCAGGCCTCCACCCTTTGCCTTTCAGCTGCATGGATGGGCCTGTGATCCTGTGACATATCTACTGCTCTACCCTTCCGGCACAACACAGCCCGGCAATCCCCAGCATTCGCGACTAATAGAAGCCTGTATTCAAAAGATTTCATCAATATGATAGAAACTGAGAAACAACAATAAAAGGTTAAGTAGAGTTTCTACAACATTCTCACCTTCCAAAGATCAATGCAGCGAGCGCAGTTGTTCCAGAGGAAGTATTAACAGTGCAGTCATCAGCTAGAGCAAGATCAGCATGAAGGAATGCTTTCCGCACTGAATCCTCCACTGATTCTATGAAGACATTATTGGCTTCTGATGCCTGTGGGAACTCAACATCTTCAAAGAATAACCTAATTGCATGCCTTTTGATGTAGGCTGCTGCATCAGGGCCTCCATGACCATCAAAAATCTGAACAGAACAAGAAGATTCAATCAGCAAAGTAACAAAATGATATCGGCTACAACAAACAAACTTATTAAGTGGAATGATAGATTGATTACCCCATAGAATGCACTTGGTGAAGGACAAGTAAATATAGAACCAAGATGAGCAGACAAATCATCTATGCGTATATGCTCATCTTCCATGTATCTCCGAGGTCCAATATCAGCAAAGCTTCCTGATCGGATACTGGGAATGAATTGGAAAATGACCGGTTCTAAATCATTTGGAGTGGCATCAGAGGTTCTCAAGTCCTACAAGAAACATATATTGGATTTACTATATATTGGAAAACTTAAATAAATCAGCTAAAAAAAAGATCCAAATTTCAATACAAAAGTTATTAAAAAAGCAGTTTTTTTTTATATATTTGATCTTCATACTACCAAAAGATACTGTAAAAAAAAAAGTAGTCTCACCATCTCTGCCTTTTTGGATTTTGTTTCTGATGTTAAATTCTCTTCGTTGTGAAACTTCTTTTTCGATATAGCTTACCTTTTTATTAAAGAGATATGATGCAAATTGCAGTTGAAAGTTAGCTCATTGACGGATCAATTTCACACAACTCTCTTTGGCCTATTGGTTGAGAGCTTAGGCTTCCAACTAAGAGGTCCAGGGTTCGAGTCTATGTGTATGCGTTGTGTGTGTGAGTTTGCCTTAAATGGCCTAAATGTCCCAAAAAAAAAAAAAAAAAAACGGATCAATTTGTAACTGAAGGTTTCTATTTATAAATAATTGAGCAATAACGCCCCCACTATTCCCAAAAATAACTTATTGCAATATAGGTACAAGATATGATCAGAATTTCATTTGTAATGTTTCGATGAAAAATTAAAAGCTATGAAAGGAAACATATGATCACCCATCATAACGACCTTACAAACGTATATCCCGGTTCCTGTAGCGTACCGGTAATTAAAAAAAAAAAAAGTAAAATTAACATGCAAGTTAAAAAGTTCTATTATGACAAGGACATGATATATTGTACAACTTTTACACCTAACGAATACATGATCCTAGAAGCTCCACGAGAAATCATTCCATATGCAATTATTAACTAAAGTTGCAAATCAGGTATCTTTTTTCGCACCTCGGGTTCCACGATCCTCAAAAAAATTGTTTTCAAAATTTGTAATTTCAAGCTAAAAACTTCAAACAGTGCAAGATTTCAAGTATCAAGAAAACTTAACATTAATTTTTCTGCAAAAAAATTTAAGACAAGTATAGGACAAAATCTAAAGAAATTCTCATAAATTGAATCAGAAGCCTCCAGATCAGCCAAATGACAAAACGAATTTTCCTCCTGTTTCAGAACAAGAACAGAAAAACGAAAACCCTACCACCGCAAAACTAACTACCTCCATCTAATCAAGCCCTAAATCTTAAAAGCGAAGAACAAGATCGGATCACATAAGGCATCAAAATCTCACCAGTTCAGAAGCTACGGCGACCTCAGCGGGTAAAGGTCCCGATACCCGAGCCACTTGCCGACACAAAGGCGGCGCAGCCGCCGGCGTCACAGCCGTCGCCGATAACTCCACGATCTCCTCGATCTCCTTCGACATGCACCGGAACTGCACATCTAGCACAGGCATGGTATGGTGGATGACTTCCGCTCCAGCAACCATCTTTGACCTCTAGGGTTTTCTCAACTTTTTCTTCGCCTCTCTTCGCGGTTAGGATTCGACTTGGTAGTTGCCAAATTTGAGGGAGGAAAACCGGTGGAGCCAAATTTATACGTGGGAGACGGTGACCGGCTGCGACCGGTGGATGATGCGCGGAAACCGGCATGTGTGAGTCATTAGAGTCGCATGCGGCTATACGTGGTCTTGCGGTTATCGCCGCGTTAGTGCTCCACGTCTCCACGCTATATCAGAGTCGCGTGTGGGGCTTACCGTCTGGTTGCTTTGAGCGGTTTGATTCTGCTTTAGTGTTTCGATTTTCGAAAATAAAAATAGACTGATATTAATCATATTGATGTTTAATTAGCTTGAATCAACTACTCAAATATTAATTATTAAGGCTTTTTGGGACTTTTTTTATTTCTTTTAAAAATAATATTTTAATATATATTTTTTTTAAACAAAAAAATTTATGTATAAAAAATTACTTTAGAAATTAATAAAAAATCTGTCCTAAATAAAGCCTAAGGTTTTGTGAGAAAAATTTTGTATTAATTTATTTTTCACACCATGATCATAATTTCTATTTAGTCATTATTTTTTTTTTTGCTTCTTTTAAAGAATTTTTATAATAGAAATTTAAGATTGATTTGGGACAGCGTTAGTTCGGCTTTCTAAAACAACTTTTTAATATAAAATAATTTTAAATTAAAATTTTTTTCTACTAGAAAATTGCTTTAAAAATCATAAAGCAAGCATTTCCAAATGAAGCTTTATTTTCTAGAACAACTTAAAAAATTAAGTTTCTCTACAATAGATTTACAAAATAGCAACAAAGGTTTCGTTTGGAACAATTTTTTATTGCTTTTTAAAATAATTTTTTAGTACAAAAATTTTTAGTTTAAAAAGTATTATACTAAAAAGTTGCTTTAACAATCATTAAGAAAGATGTCTCAAATGAAGCTAAAGTCATCTCAAATGAAAGCTAAGTCTAAATGATGTGGAAGAAGCATGTAGGAAGAAGCATGTAGTAACAAAGAGCAAAATAGAGTAAAGATTTCTTCACGGTAGAAACTAAGAAAAGTACCTTGAATGCAATGTTGGTACTTCAAATACAGCAACTTGTCATAGTAGGTATGTAAATAGTGTGCCCGTAAGAACTGCTTCATTCGTGCCCAGCTTCGTAACTTTCCTGCCGTCGGGACTGCTATAATTATGTCCACCAGACATTAGCTCCTCCTTTTAGTCTATTTACTTGACTTGCATGTCTGGCTAAATCTTCATAAAATTGAAAAAAAAATTTCTACAATTCACTCCAAATCCAAGTAATCTTCAATGGGTAACCTCCCATCAAAGAACGGTATGTCAACCTTCACTCAAAACTCACTGTGATGACGACCGCGCGAACTCCGCAAGCCGCTGAGGTCGCCAAACTAAATTTCCTCCATCTGAATAGGAGAGAACGTCCGGAACATAGCATCCACCTTCCTCTTTTGAGTCCGTCACATCGTAAAATCGGGGAGCTCGTCTCCTTTCACGATTAACATAACTCGTATGCCTTGTCAATGTTGTGGCTGTTGACACAACCAGCCACTCCTATCTATGAAAATTTTCCTCTGACTCCCGCCCCCATTGCACCCCTACGGCGAGTTGAGCAAACTTGATAAACATGTCTTCTAGCAGCTTAATTAGTATAGTGTGTGCAGTTGAGAGAGCTTCCAAACTACTATCCTCATCACCCGTCACACGCTTACTACCCTTGACCATCTTACCAAGCCATCAGCTTTGATATCAAAACTGATGTGGTATGCTATGAAAGAAACAAAGTGCTAAACATAATAAAGGTGTCTTCATTGTAGAAAAGTATAATATTAAGTCTGACTACTCTTCTTCCCGGCAAACATAGTTGCTACTATCAAGAGGCCGTAAGAAAGCCATCCCAAACAAAACCTAAAACAGCACAACAGGAAATCATAAGCAATAAGCAATAAAATAAACCACAGGAATGATATAACTATGATGCACAACATTACTAAATTTATAATTATTACATGCAGGAATTTTCGGATTTAGGTATAATATATTTAAAATATTTTAAAATTATTTAATTAATTGTAAAATAAATGGAGAAGAGCATTTTATTCTGTTTGATTTACATAAAATAAATTACGTGTAAAATAAATCACGACCCGACAATGGGAGCATTGGAGACCCGCCCGACCCAAAATAACTAATTAAAAAGTTATTTGATTAAAGTAATTCCCTAATCTGATGGTCCTGACCTAGCCGAAGCTTTCAAGTTATCCAGCGTTGTGGCAGAAAGGTGTAGTAATTAAGATAGTTTTTTTAACAATTTTTTTTAGTTGTTTTGATAATGATTTATTATTTTATAATAAATTAATTAGTATTAATATTTATGTTAATAGCAAATGCTTATATCATAATAATTAAGAAAAAAATATCAGCAAAAATAGAATCATATAAATTTAATAAAACAGTCTCAATCAACTATGTATTGTTCTTTAATAAAACTTAGAATTTTATTTTATAAGAATAAAATAGAAAATAGTAATGATAAGATTACTAACATTAATGATAATATTTTTAAACAAAATATTATAATTTAAATAATATTTTATCATTTAAGTATTAACAAAGTAAGCAAGTCTTACTATTATTAGTAGATTTTGAAATATTTATTTTTTAATTAATTATAATTATTTTAAAGCAAATAATCAGCTCAAAGTTCATCAAAGTAACATCAATTTTTATAAAAATAATGAATGCATTTTTAATCTCTTGTGTTCTCATTAAGAAAATTTTCTTGCTTTGCACACGATGGCAGGCAATGACAGGCGACAATGGGTGGCGGTAAGAGCTCACGATTGTATTTGGATTACAATAAATTGGGTGAATTTTAAATACAATTATAAATTATTTTACATTACTTCTTCATCCAATCAAATACCTAAATTTGAGACCTCTTATATATTTTTTTATTATAAATTCTTTTTTTCACCATATCAAACTACCTCTTTATATTATAAGATTGTAATAGAATCATGCACACATTGAAATAAGTTGAAAGAGGCCTATGATAGATAAGATTTCTTTGTGAAAATTTAGAAAATGAGAGAAATCATGGAGTTATGTTGGTTAAAATAGTTTTATTTACTTGAGCCAATAGTTACAAAGTTTATTTTTTTTTCATATAAATGAGAAGAAATTGATGCACTATATTTAAATCATAAGAGATATGACTCCAAAAAAATCATTTTTGTATAAATGTCAAGGCAATTTTTGAATTGAAAACTTTAAAATTAAAATAATGATCATATGAACTTCAAATTTAACACTAGACGAATAAAGTAGTTCAACGAGACAAATCAAATGAGCTTAAAATCACTCAATTCTGACAAAATTTAGGCATTTGAATGCTTAAATATATTTCATAATTAAGGGAATTGATATGGATCATACGATGGACTGTCTTATATTCTGGTTCAAATTACCAAAATACTCTCCAAAAGATCTATAAATAGAACATCATTCTCCAGATTAGTAGGGGGTGGGGTGAACTAGAGAGAGCACTTTCGTATTTAGTGGTTATCACTGACGATGACAACAATTAGATATTAACATCGATAACTACAATCGCCATTGAGGATCAGCATTAGTAATCATCATCATCTCCAGATTTTGACAAGATTTAATCATACTATTGGGTATAGTTGTCCGCTAGGGGACACCTATTTTCTATAATTAAGCCCCACTATTCAGAGTTTATTGTTAATATATGAACACTTGATTTTTGTTAACCCCCATAAGAGAAATCAAACATCTTATTCTCAAATAGTCTTCTTCTTCTTCTTCAAATGTGAGGAATGAAGGATTCCTATATCTTCAGATATATAATGAATTAATCATCTAGGTTAAACACCGTGATTTTTTTCTCTTTTCGAATTTTTCATATAAAAAACCTTTGATCTTATTATTATCTTTGTGTTAAATTTTTGTACAATACTGAGACGTAAAACACACTCTATCGACTTAAATTTTTTAGCATGTAATAGTTTGATGCCATAATGTGAGAATTGATTCTTTTATGGGGGCAACATTTGCTACAACCTTGAAAGGCCATTAATGTCAAAGGCCTGGGTATGGTTGCAGCGCGGTAGTCCCTTTACCATAATCCCTTATCAGGCCAAAAAAAGTTCTTTAATATTAAGAGCATTCTCATTGCAATAGCAAACATATATTATTTTATCTCATCTATTTAATGATAATTTTTCTAGCAGTAACTTTTCATAAAGCTTCCAACAAATATAGAAAGGCTTAAAGTGAATCTCAAAATTCTATATAGTCCTCAATTGAAATTCTATTTCTCTGACAAAGTTATAGTCTCAAACTCAAAAAGGTAATAATGGTTTAAAGACAGACCAATATTCACTTTTGATTTGAAATACAGGTGGCATTTGCCCCCTCCCAATTAAGGTATAATAGATTTTAAAGGGTTTAATTTGACATATTTCACATAAGTTAATATCATTGAGCAATAATTTGATAAACAATCTCGAATAGGTTAAACATCATATGTGAATTTTCTTTAATCTCTTCCACACAATTTAACAACTATAAATAAAACTCTGATAAATATTCTTTGATATGTCAAATATTCTTTGTGGATTTCTCTCAATCTCTTTTACACAAGTGAATTCCATTTAGCAACACTTTGACAAAAAACTTTGAAAGACATGCCTATGAAGTAGCCTTGAAGTGAAGTTTGTAGTGGAGTTTTCTCACTAAAATATCCCATGAGGGTAAGTGGCATATAAGGTCTCCACTCATAAACCTAAGAAGGCACGCACAATAGAGCATTTATTGCTTCAAATAAATTGAAAGTAAATATCAGTCAAGCTTACATAAATATCTCAAAGCCATATACAAGATTATTAAATTTACATGATATCTATAAATAAATTTTAAAATCCTACATCATCTTTCAACTACAGTCTTTTATCTAAAAGATTAATGCAAGGAGTTGAAGATAAAACTTTATGAATTGAAATACTTTCATAAACATCATTTATA